AGAACTGCCCTCATAGGGTTTCTAAAACTGTAAATGTTTACAGAAGCAAACTCACATTTTTCTCCTACGAAGAGGCTGGTGGGTTCAAACTGCTGACTTTTTGGTTAGCAGCTGAACGCTTTAACTACTGTGCAACCAGGGCTCCTTAACTCATGATAGGGACTCTAAATTCTTCAAAAATAAATAAATTGAATATCTATTAGTCTAGAAATAATGGATGGCAAAGACATATGGGTGAGACATGACCTATGATTATTTTCAGACTATATTTTTCTTCTTCTGAAAATAATTTTTCTAATCTTTAAAATCATTTTGAGATATATCCTTAGAATAACTGTAATTTTATTGTCCTTCCAATACTAGAGGATTTAGTTATAAATATAATTTATTAACCTATTTCCTTAAGTATCGCATAGTGGTGACTATGCTTAATCAATGAACATGTTTTATCTGAAGTAAATTCAATTTGTTTTCCTCTTTTTTAAAAAAATATAACAGAACAAGTTTACAATACGGAATAATGTGCTTAAAGAGGTTGAATTATGACAGAAAAGAGCTAGAAAGAAGACGGGAAGCAAGTCAACATGAAATAAAAGGTAATGTCTTTTGTATCAAATGTCTTTTTTCTGGGATTTTTAGTGTTTGCTTTTATGAGTCTAAGATGCAATAAGTGTTCCTATGCCCATTAACTAATGTAAGTATCTAACTAGTGTCATCATTATTTCTTTTTCAATACTTTTCTGATTAAAACACCAAAAGGGGTACTGTCACGTTATAAGGTGAATATTCCACTTAGGACATATTCTTGATTTTTTTGAATTGAGATTTATTTCTATGAACTTATTAATCATTCATTATGTTTGTACTATAGGTGTCTCTGTGTAGATATTTTTGTTAAACTTTTAATGAAACGTTGTCATTATGATTCAAAGAAACATGGTATATTATTTATTTTATGGCAGCTCCTCTTTGGTTTATATTGAGTTATATTTCAGTTCTCAGAAACTTTATTTTTGTAATATAGTTTTATAATTAGGATAAATGGTCAGAAATAATATGGATTTTTTTCCTCATAACAAGACTAGTTTATTAATAATTTTAGCTGGAAATTATTTTAGGACAGTTGCTAATTACTACAACTATGTGTACAAAACTGTTTGACTTGAATGGTGAAAAATATCAAACATTCCATATTCACATTTCTCTTCAAAAGCACTGTATTTAATAATGAACCTCTAAATGTTGACAATTACCTTAATATACAGGAGAAAGAATGGCTTAAAAAGAGGAATATATCAGATCCTATACTTGTTAGAGACTACTGTCATCTTATTATTGTTGTTGAATGAAAAATTAAATGGTTGAAAATAAAATATAAGTATCTTCAGGCTATTTTTAGTAAATATCAATTGACCACTTGTGTTATGTAAGACAAAAGAGGCTTATTAAGGGTATGTAACCAGATTTTTGGAGGGAAAAATTGTATATAAGCTACATGAAAAATAAGGTACTCATCAGTTAAATTTCTCTGTTTCTCGTTACCCAGGAGTTGACATGTGGAAGCATTTCATCAAAGTCAATAGGTGTTTATACAGTAAAAGTATTAGGGATGAGTCTTTTTGTTTTCATCTTCATTTCTTTTGGGACTCACTTTAGATATGAAAAAAGTACATGTTGCTTCTTACCCCTGCTCCCACCCAAATATTAAAGTTAAGCACTGTTTTAGTCTTTAAGATCATCTGTTAGGCTTCTGTAATTTTCAGTTGTGATAAACAACACAGCAGTTTCTTTCATCTTTGGCAGTTCTTGGCCAGCAACATTAATAGTTCTAGAAGAATAAGCTTGAATGCATGTGAAGATGATCAGTTAAAAATATTTTCTGTATATGGTTCATGAGAGAGTAGACAGACACACAATGGATTTCTTGTAACACTTCATTACTTAGTAGCAAGAAAGTATTTTTCCATTATAAAAATCAAGTTGTTGGATTTCACTTTATTTGGGGACCCCAGGAAATTGCAAGTTGTTTTGGATGCATTGTTGTTCAGTTGAACTGAAATTTGGGAACTAATGGACCAAGACAGACCCCAGAAGGAAGGCTCTACTTGACCTAACAAAAGATGTTTTAGTACACAAACAGATTTTACCTGTGGGATACCACTTTTTAATTTTCTTTTTGAAGCACTTATTTCCAATTAGATTTTACTTTGCTTTGTCTCACCACATTCATTGCTTCCAATACAGAGAGAGTTAAAGCGAGCCATTACTCATTTGGCCCTACACCAAAAGCTATATTAGTATTTGGCAATTGCTGGTTATTGTGGCCATGAGAAAAAGCTGCCATGACTTTACTATGGTTATATACAAAAAATTTCATATGAGAAGATACTATGAGTGAGGTCACAAGTAGCTCTTATTCCCCATAACTGATCTGCTGACATTTACAGGAATATCTCTTAACTATGACTAGGGATCTCTGTCATTTCTGAAGTGTTAATTAAACTTGACCTTAATAAAGAGTTATCTGAAGTGAGGAGATCATGTGACTATCAAGCATGTACTAACGTTTAATTGGTTGCTAGGAAAC